AGACATAGCCTAAGTAACTATATACATCCCCATCAATTAAAAAAAAGCCACATTAACCCTTAAACAACATGGACCTTACAAAATTTCTACGAAAAATGAAAAAGGTGTGTAGCATCAGCTATCAAACCAGAACCTGAAAATCTCATCTAATTTAGTGGAATATTCACGATAAAGACACAAATACAGTAATAAAAGACCATTAATCCAAAACAAACAAGGCCATTTCTTAACAGAATGGTTCTGAAACTGTGCATTTTGATGAGGACACCAGCCTCATTTTTGAGACACTTCAAAATCAAAGTAGATGACATAAAAGTTGGAGAATGAGGGGGTTGGGCATAGTCCCTGCCAGTGACTAGTCAGCTGCTTCCTAGAGAGCTGCAGGAAGTAGGGAGGATCCTCCAGGAGACCCAGGTCTGGGAAACCTAAGTGAAAGATCTGGCTAGGATTCCAGCTGTGTAGGCAGTGGCCAAGACCAGGGAGCCAGAGGGCAGGACTTTGTTTTCCTGCCTTGATTTCTACTGATCCATTGAATGATGAGTAAACATCTAGGAAAGAGAACAAGATACTGACAATGATGGGAGCTTAATTGACAAAATGACTGGGGAGTTGGCCTGCCAGCTTGTATGAGCATTGGGAAACTGAAGAGGACGTCTGATCATGGGTTTGGGGAGACCCTGTTGCACACTCCCTTTTTTTTTGCCACAAGACAGTATTATATCTTAGATCCCCTATTTAAAAAGTGTCTAACTGAGGCAGTGTGAGACACAAACAGCAGTAAACCAGCTCTATTAGCTAGTTACAATGGACTTTGGATTCAGTCGTCTGTTCTCATGCTCACAAAGGAATTGTGTGTGCTAGGGATGTTAAATTGTGAGTAATTGACTAATCAAATAGTCGATGCATTTTGCACTGACTTTTCGATTAGTCAATAGGGTGCCTTCACCCTAAAAATGGTGAAAGGGTAAGGATGACCTTGTTTCCCTATGCTAAATGTAGGACACCTGGTAAAATTACTCATATTCAAGCAAGTTCCATGGCAATCAATTAGAAGTATGCAGTCCAAATGTTCAAATTAACATCCAGTTGACTGAACCCCTGTTAAAAGGAAATCCATAGGTGGATTCTTTTTATTTATCTTCTTATCTCTAAGATCCACCCAGGAGAGGTGAAGCCTTTTCTTCCCCTCCTCCGCCCTCATACCTTTCCCTAATACAGAGAGAGTGCCCATCCAGCCCAGTTCTCCCTGCCTGGCACGCTCCACGGTCCATACCTGGCTGGGTCCCTGCCTCTCCTGGTCCACGACACTGGGTCTTCCTGAGGCAACATGTAGTGGGGACACTCAGGGCCATGTGTCCGCCCCCTAGATTTCTGCCTGGGTTCACACCAGAATGTGGCCAGTAGCAGCCTTTCAGCACTGTGCAGAGAGGAAGAGATAGAGCTGCTTCCAGCCACAGGGGAGGAGCTAGGGAGTGACCTGGCCCATTCCTCCTTCTCCCCTCCCTGACTGCAAGTATATTGTCTCTTCCTGCCCACACAGTGTTGAAAGACAGTTAACACCTTCAGACTGCTGCTGTCCAGTAACATAACCCAGTGCCTCCTGTCCCTTGGCGACAGCGTAGGCAGGAAGGGGTAAGCCCTAAATATGCATTGTGGTTTGTACCAGTCTCTCAGCTGAGTTGAGTAGAGTACTGCTGATGCCCACCAGCTTGGGGGTCTGTCCCACATCCTTCTCCCTCTTCATCCTACTCTTACTGCCATAGAATCTGGGACCCTACTGTGCAAGGTGCTGTATGAACATTGAAGAAAATATTTCTCACCCGACGCCATCCATTGAACCAGGAGTATGTTTCGCAGTGGGGGCAGTGTCCCAGTTCGAGTCCAGAGAAATTCCTCTGATATTTCAGTGCATTCCCCTCCCCACACTTTGGTGCCTCATATCACAGTCACCTTGCTAAAGATGACTTTGCAACATCATCATAGCCCAGCAAGATCGCGCCTTAATTTGCTGCTGAGGAACACAGGGCTTGCCTCCGTCAAGGTGGAAAACAGTTTCTTCAGCCCTGCTGGACAGCCGAGGGAGTAAGAGACCAGATATTCCTTCCTAAACAGCAGCTACTTCCCTCAGCCCTCCCCCTGTGTCACTACTGAACAACTTACATCTCTGTAAGGCGAGGACTTTGTACAGTTACTAAAAGTCCAATCCAAAGATTTGAAGTACAGGCAAGAAACTGCATTACCACTAGATGGCAGTGTAAGCCCTCATGCCGGATAGACTTTCATAAGGTATATTACTAAAATGCTTTCCTGCATTAGTGCTAAACTAACAAAGTAAAAATAAAGTGATTGCTGGGTATTTTATGGTCTATTCCTACTGCACTAAGGATGTGTGAGCCTTATGCCAGGGAAATAAATAAATAATTTAACTTTACATATTCTCCTTTTCTCTCCCCTGCCCCACTTTGAGTTTTGAAACTTCCCTGTAGATACGTTCTTAAATTAATACAAAATGAAGAGGAAAAGAGAAAAAAATATACATGTTTTGCAGCTGGTCTAAACATGTAATGCTGTAATTTGTAGTCATATCAGACACTAATTCAGTCTTTGTTGCACTGAAGTGATATCACATCCTACTATGCCTTTCAGCTAACTACCCCCTCACTCCCACAAAACCTCAATTAGTAAAAAAAAACCCCACATACAGTATTCTGCCTGGAAGAGGGATGAAACACACCCACACCCAACAGCAATGCCTCCTGGGATGAGGTTTACCTGGGAGGTCGACAAATGCCTTTGATGTTGACCGCGGAGCGTCCAGACTACCGCACTGAGCCGACAAACAGCTGATCGGCTCAGCATGGCAGCCATTTAAATTTAAATGAAGCGGCGATTATTTAAATCGCCGCTTCATTTTCCTGTGCCAGGTAGCCTAATCTACATGCCTCTGTCGCCAGAAGCATGTAGTCTAGATGTACCCATAGGGGTTTCTTGCGCAAGAAACCCCTCTTGTCCATCCACACATGTCTTTTTGCGCAAGAGCTCTTGCACAAAAAGGCTTATTCCTCGTAGAAAGAGGAATAACTCTTGCGCAAAAGGTCATGTCTTCTGACGATCGACTGTACTTTGTCTTGTGCAAAAACCCACTTGCAGTGTAGATACTCAGCTAGTTTTTGCACAAAATGGCCATTTTTGTATAAAAACTCTGAAGTGTAGATGTGGCCTAAGTGCTCAGATACTGAAGGGATAGGTGGGGGTATACAATCCGAATACAGCTTGCTAGTGTATCACCATTCATCAACCAGATGATGAGCTATGTTCCTATATTTCACATTGTAAAATTGATGATGAAGCCAATGTCTATGCTATCCCAAAAACCTCAGTACCTATTAAGCAAGGTGTGAAGATGAGTCCTACCACCTTTCTGTTTAAAGAACTCTGTTTAAAGAACACCTCCAGGTTCCCCTCAGCTGCTCTGTGTTGCAAATAGCTGTACTAGTGAGTACATTCCTCAAGACCCTATGAAAGCAGTGGCTGAGTTCTAATGAGATCACAGCATGGGGATCACATAAGCCAATGATGCCTGGGTCTGATTCATCATTCATGCACTGTCAGAAATGGAATCAAGCCAAGACGGCTGTAGCTCAAGTAATTAGTTATGTACTAAATACACCTCAGAGCTCACTGAGCAGCAGGGAAGGATTATTTCATCTCAAATGCAGTGCAAACCCACCCCGGTTAAACAAGGACATGCTGCTGGTTAATTTGATACCACCTATTTTTAAACATTAGCTTAGCGGCTCAGGGTATGTCCACACTGCAGTGTTATTTCGAAATATCAGAGGGTGTGTCTACACAGCAAGCCCGTTATTTTAAAATAATTTTGAAATAACAGGCTTCTTATTCAGACTTCTGTAACCCTCATTTCAGGAGAAGTAAGGGAAATTGAAAGATGAGTATTCTTCCTTCAACTTCCTGCAGTGGAGACAGCGCCAAAAGCCGAGTTAAGCTATGCAATTAACATAGCTGAAGCTGTGTATCTTAATTCGACTGTAGCCCACAGTGTAGACGTACCCAATGTAGAGTTCACGGGATCTTAGGAACTAAGTGCTGGCCCAGATGCCAGCAGCTTCTGTATTCCTGCCCCTGCTTTCATGGGCTCAGAGTGTGGTCATGAGCAAGTCACATCAAAGTAATATGCCTCAGTTTCCCAGTTTTGAAACTCAAATGTATAAGCACTGATTTTGTGGAAAAATCAGTGGGTGCTCAATACCATCAGCACCAAGCTTTTCCCCCTTTCCCCTGAGCCTCTCGCACGCTGGTGGCCCTGCATGTACAAACTCCTCCCCCTCCCTCCGAGTGCTTCCTCAGCACCACAGACAGTTGATGTGTGGTGCTCAAGCTTAGGAGGGAGGGAAGAAGCAGAGATGGGGCGTGCTTGGAGGAGGAGGTGGGGAAGAAGTGGGGTGGAATAGAGCAGGGGAAGGAAGAGGTGGGTCGGGAGGCATTTAGGGGAAGGGATGGAGTGGGAGTGGAACCTGCAGCAAGGGAGGAGATTGAGCACGCCTGGCAAGAGAAGTTGGTGTCTATACTCAGAAAGTTATACTGTCTAATTCTCTGAGGCTAAAAACGTCGCAGTAACACATCTGTGTCAAGTCAATGAAATGATACATTTGAGTTTAATTTGCTTTAAGTAATTTGCAGTCTGTCTTGCTAGATAATTTGCCCTCTACTTTTGTCTCATTAAGATCGACCCTGTCCTGGGTCCACATCTTCCTAGACAGAACCATCCACTGCCCTGTCCTTGCCATCCAAGCTGCCACGCATGCTGGCAAGAACGACCTTGTCCAAACTCTGTGTTTAGGGCAACTTCATTGATTTTTAAGTGACCGCAGTGGGTTTCCACAAGAGCTGGGGGCGACCCCTCTTTTGTGATCAGCACAGTCCGAGACCTGGCAGTAGGACACCAAAGCTGAGATCACCAAAATAAATCAGGGACTCACAGTGCTTGCCCAGGGCTGAGTCATAGGCTGTATCTGGCACTTCAGCAGAGATGAGCGTTGTACTTTTCCCGGACAGCTTCGCTTCCTGTTTGGGAATGATAACAGTCTGAGCTGCTAGCTGGACAGTTACATTTCCATAAACAGATTCTGGGAACCTTGCTAGGCACTGGCATGTACGGAAAACAATTAGATCATAGGGCATATTGTCCCATTGAGGGTCTGATAGACTGTCTGTATGGTACATTTTGGTGTGCCCCCGTCATGCCCAAATTGCTTTATAATTAGAAGAGTGCATCAGCCCCAGAGAGTGGAGAGTTTCTTGATTCCAAAGGGCTTCTAACCAGCACTAAAGATTCACCCCCATACTACTGACATTATTATAACTTCACCCGAGCATATGCTAGAGACACTTAGCCCCCACCGTACCCATGACATCTATGGGCATTTCGCCACTGATTTTAAAGGCAGCAGGATCCCTCTCTGAATGCTAAAGGGAAACACATTTCTTGGGAGGACTGGAAGAAGAGAGTTCACCAACCTTTCTGGCTGACTCCTTCTCTGTGTGGGTGGCAACGCTCCATTGTTGCCTCCTGCTGTTACTCTGGGATGAAGAGAAGGCCAGTTCTGTCCAGGTTTTAGTCCCCTGGATGGCTGTCACTGTGCTGGGCTCCATCTCACTCTTCCTAAAACTGCCCCTAAAAGGGGCTGTCTGGAGTGCAGGGAAAGGGAAAGCCGTAGGCTGTGAAGTTGGAGCAGCTTTGCCGGTGTTCGGAAGTCTCCAGTCTCCACTGGTCTGAAGTCTCTGTTTCACCGCAGTGCTACTGAATTGATAGAAGGTAAGGTTCTCCATCGACTTGCTCCTCGACCCATTATTGACAGGGCCTTGAGGTGGGGCAAGTTTTTCCCCCGAAGCCTTTTGTAGAACATTTCTCACCATGCTCTAAAAAATACATCGGATTAGACTTACTCTCTACTTGCCACATTGCTGTGCCCAGAGGAAGTGCAGTGGGATTATAAAACTCTACTCCCAGTCCTGAACCCCATCACCCACTCTCAGTGGCATGCCTTCTATCATTACTAGGCTTGGACAATCTTCCATCAGTCACTCTCCTCCTATCTTTCTCACCTCTCCTACCCCAAAACCACTCGCTAGGGTTTATGGACGGAGTATGTGAGATACTTTTAAAGCAAACTAAGGGGCGGTGCCTCCTGCTTGCTACGTTCACCAACCCCCCTGTCAGGAGAAGTTTTTTTTATATAGAGAGAGATTTTAAATCAAGCTTCTGTAGACAAACATATGTATTCTGCATATGGGTAAGCTGCATATTCTGTGTATAGGTAAGTATGGCCCTGAGTACAAGTCAACAATGAGACTATACTCATCATAGCATGATAAGCAATAGTCACGCATACCAGTTGCCTAACCAGCAGGAAATTCTGTGACTAGTTTTAGGATTCTGCTAGGTCCTAAAGCCTGTGATATGTTCAGTTAAAATCAACTGATTTAGGTCAGCTTAACTAGATCACACACAAACATGAAAAAATGTCACTCCTGGTGTGATATAACTGAGCCAATCTAACCCTGGGTATAGGTATCACTAGGGCCAAGTCTACACTACACCCCTCTGTCAGCAGAGGGCTGTAAATAAAGCACATCCAAAGTGCTAGCCAGTTCCTGTGAATTGCTTGATTTTCATTCATTAAGTCAATATAGTGTGTCAGCCTGTTCTCTCTTCTGTCCTTCTTATATTAACCAGTTTGCCTGTAGCTCACCTGGAAGTTCACTTGCTTTGAAGGGGTTCTTTCATAGTCCAGTATGTTCTGATACCTACACAAAAGACAAAATGTGGCACTTTACTTCCTTCTATGCTGTGCATCTAATGCACACATGTACTGGAACAGCCCAGGTTTTCAAAGGTATCAGCATGGAAGAAGGGCTCTGAAACCTGTAGAACTCAGGTTTCATGAAAAACTTATTGTGGCTTTGCTGAGTTTGTATTTGGGATTGCATCCCAGTGACCTCCTGGTGCCAAAAGGCAGAGGGATACATAGGGTTTGAAGGAGCCCCTGCATCTGCTATTGACATAATAGTGTCTTAAAGGGTGTCATGTAAAGTGTCTACTGAAATCTTATGCCACACACACCACAATCACTGTGAAATGTATGGGAGACACTGACCTACCTATCTGGCTATGTGTAAACTGTGTATTATATACTTCACAGTGAACACCTATTTACAGGCTGGGCAAATGCTAATCATGAGATTATGAAGTTTCTAGGGGAGATTCTCATCTATAAAAAACAAGCAGCAAAGGATACCCTGTTCACGAGAGAAGACAATGGATTGCTGGAACTATATCTGAGAGTGCAGTGGTACAACCCCAGGGCCTTCATCTAGAGGACAAGCTGCCAGCTGGCTTATTTTAGGAATGGAGGATCACAGCTGGTTTGGCTGCTTGACCCGGTGAGAAGGACTTTGAGTGCACTAGCTTTGTGAGACAGGAGGCTGTCCTGGCAGTGAAGTTTAGGCTGTAGAAAAGCAGGACATGATTATATTTTACATTTAAGCACCTGTTTCCAAATCTTTTGCATGCCACTTCTAGAATCTCTGGACCTTGTTAAACTAACTTGTACTTGTTTTTCTCTGTAAAATAATCTCAGTGCTATGAGCAAGGGTGAAGGCACAGTAACCTGAGGGCACGGTTCCTTTGTGATCTGTGACTTCTATGAATGGCCAACAGAACACAGGCCGGACACTCTGGGGAGGTGCTAAAAGGGTTCAGAGCTTGAAGTATGTCTATTAATTACCAGCTTCCATTCCCAGGGATATGCTTGATTTCACTGTGAGTTGCCCATGCATGCCAAGGCAGGGTCTGACCCTGCAAACTTATAGTAGACACCAGAGATCTGAAAACAAACTTTGAAAGAGAATGTTCTGGCCTGATTTAGTGCAGCGTTCTATCATTGAAGAGAGACCCCTCTGCTCTGCAGAGGGAGGAGAGGGCAGAGGAGTGTCTGGGGTGCACATGCCTCTTGCCAATCAAGCGGCGGCTCTGCTGGGTGGGGTTGGCTTGTTACACTAGGTTTGTGTTGCTAGCGGGGTTGTGCTCTGAGTGGGCAAGGTTATTGTAGGATTTATTTAAATATGAAACAATAAACAGATGCCTCTCTGAGGCTCTGGCTGCCCTAGCATAGTACAATCTCACCAGCATCACAGTGGCCACAGCCAGCCTAGAGACCCTTCCCTTACCGTGGGAAGAACACCATTAGCCCTCTCCAAAAACCCTCTCAAACAAGGGGCTTTTGCAGTGTTGCCAAACCTGGGCAATTTTGGACCAAGGTATGGAGAAAGTTCCAGAATCCCAGCGCTCTCACAGAACATTCCCAGTGAGCTGCTGCCTGAGGAGCAGCTCACAGC